TTTTTTTTTATATATATTTATTTTTCAAAATCTATTTTGAAATGCATAGAATTAGTGATAAAAAAATTATTATTGTATAATAGACTATTAAATAATTATTATGTCTTAAAGTATATGTCACAAGATACAAGGTTTGTTAAATAAAAATCATATGAGATATTCACTATCATTTAATTGCCAGTTTTTTCCACCAGAATTGTAAATAAATATATATATAAACTGTACTATATACAAGTTAAACTATACTATATAAATATAATTTCAACTAATCATATTCTATTATATGAAAATATATAAAATTAAAAATAGTATTCATATATTATAATTTATCTAATTATATAATACAGTTTATTTTTATACTTATTTTTTAGATTAATAGACAATTAAATATTTAAATTATTAGAATAATGAATTTTATTTATTCTAATTTTAAATTTATTAGATTATTAGACTATATTTAATTTTAATTATCAAATTTTTTTAAAAAATTTATTAGATAAATAAAAAAATTTTTTAAAATCTATTTTAACTCAATAATATATTAATATAATAACTTTAATAAAATTAAGTAACAATAAAATTATAAAGATTTATTATTTATATTCATAAATAAATTTATATAAAATTATTAAATTCTTAATTGGTTAATTAGATTATAAAATAAGTTAATATATATAAAATATCAATAATATAAAGTTAAAAATAATTATTATTTACTTTTTATTAAGTAATTATAATAGCTAAATTATGAATTATTAAATTTAAAAGATTATTTTTTTAAAAAAAATATAAAAAATTAAATATTTAAAAATATTATATTTTTTTATAATTAATAATATTTAATTATATACTATATATAAATTATATTAAAAGAAAATAGTAAATATTTTTATATAATACATAATATATAAAAAATTAAACTTATTATTTTGTAAAATTATATACAATGTAAGAAATTTATATTCAACAATATAAATATAATATTTAAAAATCTTTCAATTCTTTAAAAAAATAAAATTTAAAAAAAATAAACTAGTAATTTTATTTTTTAAGATAAATTTTTTTTAAATTACTGATTAGTTTTTCAAAACTTTATAAATATTCTTGGATAAGTCTCAGTTATTACCAGCTATTTCACGACTTATGAAATTAGCTGTAATGTAGAGTATGAAAAATAGATTTTTACAACTAAAAAATTTTTAAGTTCCAGAAATATATAAAAAGGAGAGAATATAATACAGGTAATAAAAAAAGGTGATAATATCGCATAATATAATGAATAAATTATTTTTTTATATATTTATTTATAATATTATATTATATAAACTTTTATTTAATATAATTTATTTGTATATTTTATATTATTTTATTAAATATTTTATTAATTTATTAATATTTTTAAATATAAATTTTTTTATTATTTTTTTATTTGATTATTTTATTATTATTATTAAATTTATTTAAGTTTTATATAATTTTATCTTTTTATAGATTTTTTAAATATAAATTTTTTAAATTTTATTCTTTATCATAGGTTGATTTAAGAATCTTATATATTTTATAATAATTAATATTATTATATTAGTAATGAGTTTTAAAAATATATGATAGATTTTGACATATTTTCCTATATTTAAAATCTTATTCAAAATATTTAACAATTGCTTATATAATAGAATAAAATTATTTTTTAAGTCAAATGAATTTAACTATATTTGGTTATAACTATACAGTTTGTGTCGGAAATGGCGATGTCAAAATCACATGACTAGAAACACCTTTTTTTAAAAACCGAATCCATTTCAAGTTGGGACTGTTTTTATCACGTGAAATATACTTTAAAAAAATTTATTTATACATACAGGTTAAAAGCCTACATTTTAAGGATGCCCTTTCAAGTTAAATCAACTTCACGTCACATGAAACACATATCACGGGATCCGGTAAAAGTTTCGGAGTTATCAAATTGCCCCTGTAATTTTTGTGCCTTTATTAGTCAGTTTTTTTTTATCCTGTGTATGTTTATTTCTTAATTAATTTCCTTTAAATTTTCCTTTAAAGTAATAATCTCGAAAACTAGGCAGTTTTCTTTTTATTTAATCATAGTAAATATTTATTAATGTATATATTTTATAAATACTATAAGCAATGAGTACATACTTGAGTTGGTTGCCATCAATAGACGTTAGCTCTTACTTAAGGTACCCGGGTGGGAATAATAATTCACAAACCTCTAATAATACAAAGACTTCAACACGAACAATTCAGAGTGAAAATAGCACAATGTTTGGGTTTTTCGGTGGCTTGTTTGATAGAGCTCCCAAAATTGAAAAATATTCTCCTGAGAACTTAAGGTAAGCTTTTACTCATTTCTTAAAAGAAAGGAAAGGTTGGAAATAAAACACATTCTCATTTGATAGGCCGATCAAGAGAGAATGTGTGACGATATAATATCTTCTTTTACAATCGAAATTATTTGGACCAATTTGATTTTTCAATTTCGCATAGGAATCTAAGTGATCTTCTTTATGAACGTTCAAAACCTGGAAATGATGAAAGAGTGGTTGATGTATTAAAGGAAATGACACAAATTTTGGTTTGGGGTATGGAAAAGATTATAAATAAAATTTATTAAATTTTGTTTGTTAGATTTTTATATTAATATTTAAATGAAATTATAATTATATATAGGTGATCAACACAAACCGACTATACTTGAGTATGTGAAATCATTTATTTATTTATTTTTGATTTGCTTTTAATATATTGAAATTTTTATTTAATTCGTTTCAAATCATTTTTCAGATATTTTTTTGAAAATAATATACATTATGACATTTTAAATTTTTTGGAACAAACTAATAGTCCAAATGTAACGAAACAAATATTACAAACCATGAATATTTTATTTGAAAATATCCATGATCTAACTTCACTGTGTAAGTTATTTTTCAATAAGGTGTAAAGTGTCGAAGAAAAACGCGTTCAAACTCGTTTATTTTTATTTAAATAGATTTCTTGTTGTCTAATAATTTTGTCAACCGAATAATATGTCATAAATTTGATTTTTCGAATGATGAAATCATGGCGTACTATATTTATTTATTACGAACGTTATCTTTTAAGTTGGATACCAACACGTTATTTTTCTTTTTTAATGAGGTACGTTATGAAATTTTTTATTCTATCTTTGATTCATTATGCCCTAAGGAATTTTCATATTTATCATCACTATTTCTATTTAATAATTAAAATAGCGACAAGATGATTTTCCTCTGTAAGTCTCTATATATGTGATTCTTTTTTTTTTTGATTACCGATAGAACAACTAAATATTATTTAGATATTCGGAAGCGATCAAGTTCTTTAATTCGGATGAGAGTATGATACGAGTTGCTGTTCGGACAGTGACATTAAATATATTTGGTGGTAAGTCATTTACTTGATGTATGATTCGTAATTGTTGGTAAATCACGTGACTCATATAGTTTTTTTTGGATTTAACTAGTTAATAATGCACAAATGCAAGAATTCATTCTGGACAGAAACGCGGCTCCATACTTCTCAAACTTGGTTAACTTTATTTCCAACTTCTCGACAATTTTGGACGACATAAGCAATTCGCCCAAGTAGGTCTAATATATATTAATTCGGACATTCTTATTTTATATCATTATAATTCGAAAATTTTCTACGTGTTTTTAATAGCTACCACAATCAATATCAGAGATTTAACTACTATCTCGCAGAGCATTGCGATAATTTTTATTATATTAACGATATCATAAATTTGGACAATGAAAAAATGAACCAAGAGTTAACTTCGCACTTGATGGATCTTTTATTGAAACCTGTATATGCAGATAGTTTGGTTCACAGAAAGTTGTTACCGTATAAGCAGGTATTTACCCACATTAATTTAGAAGATGTCGTCGCTTCATTTTTCTTGCTTCAACAATATTGATTTTATAATTCATTGTAGTCAACGCGTATAGATTCGGTGGTGGCGCTTGCACTTTTGTGTCACGTTCTTCACATATTTCGTCATCCGCCATTAGTTACAGCGATGGTTGCAATGCTTTTTTCAAATTCGCCAGAGTTAATGGATTATCCGCAATCACCTAGACTTGACACCACATATGCAAATCCTTCTTCATTATTTAAAAATAGGAATCTTTATCGAGAGGCTATAATGGGGTTCTTGATTCCCGAGGAATCAGTTTCAGATGAAGATGAAGATGAAGAAGCAGATTATTATGATTTGAACACCTTGCCGGCTCTTTGTTTAATATACATGTCATGTAGGAATCATGCGATTGCACCAGATATACTTTTGGCTACAGAAGTTTATTCTCAAAAGTTATTAAAGACTCGTCGTTTGTTGGTAAATCATTACGTATACATTATGAATTATCTAAGGATTATTATTGTATTCCGAAATTGAGTTTATATCTTCTTTTTAGGACTCATTAGTGTCCGACACCGAGGATCTATCGAATGACACACCCTTTTCGTTTAGTCACAGAGTTTCATTTGATACGGCATCAATGACATCAACAGCAACTACTGCATCACAGAGTAAACCGCTGATTACGGATGATTTAGATGGTGAATTATTAAAATTATCAACAAATTCCAAGCCTGATCAATTATTTGTGGATGATATGGATGAAACCCTATACGAATCATCACTTGCTCCTTCCATAAAAATAACCGGAGAAAATAATTATAATTACCAGCATCAAACAAGGAATTACCGTGCGGAACTAGTTCAAAATATCATCACACTTTTGTGCGTTCATTATCGATTATGTAGACCGATTACACTTCAGGTACGATGTCTGTTGTAAAAGGACATATACTTTTTGTTCGTGAATTAAAGTAACTTATTTATTAATAATAGATGGCTGCAGAGGTATTACTTGAGCTCTTATATTATAATGGTTCGGGAGAGTGTTTAACTCTGGAGCAAACAGAAATGATAAACGTGAGATATAACTATAACATAGCTTTGTCATTATTTAATTTGATGTTAGACGAAAACTTATCTTGTTTTTATACTTTTAGATAACTGAAAAAGTATTACAAGAACGGGTGAAAAACTATTTCCTGAAAAATCACGAATTTCAGTTAGACAAATTCGAAAGGGCAGTTAATGAATCAATGTGTATGTAATAAAAATTTTTTTTTGTTTTCAAAACCTTTACATTTTACTAATTTTTTTTTTTTTAAAAAAAATTATAATATAAGTTGGAGGAGATAAGTATGTTGGAGAAATTATAATGAATGCAAAATTATTATTTCCGCCACCATCTCCAGTTCCACAATCGACGTCGATAGATACCGAGGGTAATTTTTTTTTTTTTTTAGAAAAAAGTCAAATTAAAATGAGTAATTCTTTTTTTATTGAATCAATTACATCATTTTATTTTTGGTTAGATGAAAATATCATCAGAGATATCAAAACACTTCACCTTCTTCGTCAATCTCGTATTCTATTATCAAGAAAATCGATATTAGAAGAACCAACTTTTGAGGAGGTAGGGTATATAGAAGAAAATAAGTATAAATCAGAATTGGTTTACCATAATGGATTAGTTGATGAAAATTTTGATCAAGCCCGTCAACAAATGTATTCTACAACTACGAAAAATGATAACAAAACTCATCAAAGAAGTGATACAAAAGATTCGACTTCATCTTGGGTAAGTGTAAGTGAAGTTGAAAAAAGAAAGAAAACGGTGCTGGAAAAACTTGGTATATTATTATTATAGTTATGAGGAGATTTTTCATTCGATTTATTGCCTTTTTAATTATTTAATCAAATAACACCTCATCATATTAAAGAACAATAAAAAGTGAGAGTTTATCATAAAAATTTGTATAATTTTACCACGTGACTTTGTTTTTGTTAAGGGCAAATTCCATGTATAAATAATTTTTTTTTAAGTACTGGTCACGTGATATTGAGGTGTTCAATAAACTATATCAACTATGTAAATCAATACATTGTTAAGTATCATATAAAAATTTACTACTATTCTTACGATTTTTTCTAATAAAAAATTCTAAATCTTTAACGTTTAATAACTTCGGTATATGTTAGCATTCAGACAAATAAAACTATAAATGAATAATTTATTACCTAAGAAAAAATGTGACACCACGCTTTCTTGAAAAACAACAAAGAAAATAAAATTTTTATTTAGAGAGCTGTGTACAAAAAGATTTATTTATTAAGCGTAAAATAATATTTTTTTTGGAAAAAACGAGCTGTTACATGAAAGAGACAATAATTTAAAATGTTTTTGTAAAATTTGGAGCGAAGATATTAAGAATTTAAAGTTATTAAAGTCTAAAAATGTATAGATTTTAGTGAGAAGATTATTATAAAGCAAATTTAACCTATCAGAATTACAAAAAAATCTCTAATAGTAAATATTTATATGTTACTTAACAATGTTTTGATTTACATAGTTGATGGAACACCCCAACGTGATATGTACAGTTGTGGCCCAGGATAAGAACCTGAACCCGGGGTACTTTTTAAGGACGCTCTTTTGTTAAATTGATTAACTAAATAACCATAGATGTCATGTGACTAAGATTTTCTCGCTATCGCTTCGTTGTCTGTTTTATTTGTTTTATCTAGTGTCGTAATCATGTAAAAAATAAATACCTTATATCGTCCAAAAAAATCTTTAATAAATTAAACTCTGATTTTATATATAGACTGGGAGTTAATTATGTGGCGAGGTGTCACGATATAAATGAAAAACTATAGCGTCAGAGATCATATCAATTATTCTAAATATTCTGATGGTGATTTAATTTTGTGGATTTGTTGATAAAGATGCATGGAAATCTTCCCTATAGCACTGAAGTCATTTTGGAAAGGATATACGTTTGAATCAGATATTAATAGATAGTAATATAATAGTATTGGTATGCTTATGTGGGATTTCATCTGGTCTGGACAACCACAATTTGTTGAATTTGAACATACATGTTTTCTGACCTTGCGAAATAATGAATGGGATGAGACCGAGGGTAGTATCAGAAACTCCATTAGAATATAAAAATTTAATGGTACATGTCATGTTGGGATGCTGATCTATTGAAAAGACCCGAAATTGATACGGAGAAATTTCAAGAAATACGAAAGTCATATTACGGAAAAAGAAAATCAATTACTGATGTATAAAATAATTATAATATTTAAGAGGAAAGAGTTCAAAATAAATCTTGTTGGACATCATCATATTTTATTGTTCCAGATCCGAAAAGGTTTAAATGCTAAAAGTAGTACAGTAATGATATCATGTTTCATTGGAGGGCGCATGAAAGTATCTCTTTAAATTTATGTAGCGCAAAAAATTCCATAGAATACATAGAATATCAACTGATATTCGAGAAAATGCTACAATATTGCATTTGTATGATTCGAAGACTTGCGTAAGGCATCATGGATAACAGAGAAAATGATTTTAGAGTTAAAGATGTGAATAATCAAGATCTAAATCTTTTCGCATCGGTGGGATATGCCTCTTATCAAATGAATTTGAGATGTTAAAATACAGTATCTCTAATTAAAATTTGGCTTCATAGCTAGCCGTAAATAATCTCTCCGGTTTTACAATTGTAATCTTTGTTTTTTAATCCATTCTTCATACTCTTTATCTAGTTTCTCATAAACTAAACATGATGAATTTCAAGAATTCTTTCATAGCAAAGATTCCATTAAATTATCAGACGGGTTCAACTTAATAAAGAATTCCATGTACCGATACATTAAAAAAATTGCGAGTGACTTCATCCGATTCAAGATCAAATAATGTATTATTTTAGGGAGAGCGATTGGCATTTAGCTCCGCTTTGTTTTCCAATGTGATTTGTCGTCTTTTTCCTTTCGTATTATTCGAAAATAGATTTTTCACAGCTCTTTCAGTATCAAGTAATTTACTCTACATTTGACACATATGTTAGTTTTTAGATAGTTTATATTTATGATAATTTATTAAAAACTTACTTCGAGCAACTTGAGAATGCAATATGCATCTTCTAATATGTCACAATCATCAGTATCAGCAGGTATCCTGCATCGATCTATCAATCCAAATCGATATATACCTGATCCCATCCAATCCATAGCATAGAAATTCAATTCTAAACCTATAATAGAACTCATTAGTAAGAATATTATTAAAATTTCTTACTATGTTAAAACTTACCAAATTGAAGCCAGCCGTATACTATAATTTCCAATCTTTTTTCATTCGATACATAATCACATTCTTTTAATAGACGATTTATACTATCACGCATCGTTATCATTAATTTTACTTTATCTAGAAATCTTTTCTTACGACAAGCGGTAGGGACTCCAAATGGTCCCAGCCCACCTGAAACCTCTCCAAAAAGAGCCTCAAATTTATTTGATGTTTTTAGCAACATCGCTTTCATATCAACCTTTTTACCAATTCGTGCTTTTTTAAATGGATCTGATTTTTCGTTACATGCATCACTGCTTGAAATAGTCTGTATTTCTCCCCTGTGTGCGGAAAAATTATTAGCATAAATACAGTATTCATTACCTTAATATAAATGAAATGATTGACTTACCAAGAATGCATTATATGATCGGATGTAATTGTTCCATGAAATAACGGATAAGAAGTTGTCATTTTCAAATGTTCTTCCATTATCATTCCTTGGAAGAAATGCACGTTGTTTTTCCTATACGATAATACAAAGTCAGAACGTAATGCCAGATAATAAGTAAGTGTATATAATTCTCAAAAACTTATACATACAAAAATTGTACATTGGTATCAAAATGTTTTAGTTCTTTATTTTCACTACTATTGTCAAGTTTTTCGCAACTACTGTCAAAGTAATCCTGAATATCTCTTGGGACTGGTTCACATTTCCATTTGATATGATCAGCGAAATCTTGAGATAACTGTTGTAAATTGTTTTCTGTAATTTCTTTACATCCATAAAGACTTTCTCTGGTCAGATCGAGCACTCCCCAATATGCAGGACTATGTAATATTAAAATAAAAGAAATGTATTAGTAATCAAACCATGATCATAAAGAGACACCAAACTTACGTGAAAACTCTGCGAATTTTAGGGATTTTATTTTGATATGTTTGGAATGAATTCAAAATGTCATCAAATATAAATATAAGTGGATCCTATCGAGAATAGATAATGAGTTTACTGAATATAATGTATTCCCACAGTCGAAATCATTAAGACCTTACCTTATTATCACTCGCTTGCGGCAATTTTATTTCATCTTCGAGTGTATTTTCATCAATTTTATTTATAATTGTATCTTCATTCGAATCATTAAAAAGAAATACTAGTCCATCGTAACCTGGTAATTCGTCATTTCCTAGTTTCCTTTTAAGATTTTTTTTGCGTGTTGGACTTGTTTCCGTAAATTCATCATCACTATGAACTTTATTAGAGTCCTTCCAAAGAAACATAATAAATATGATGATTTAGAGTTAAGATTCTACTTTACGACCGTACGTACATATTAAAATTTACCTGCATTGCATCCTCGTCTTCCTCATTTTTCTTGCCTTGCTTTCCAAATGTACTGTTTAAGATTTCATTCGTCTGCTTCATATAACCTTTTGCCATTGTGCTCTTTGTCATTGACCCGCTAGAAATTGTTGCAAGCACGTGTGCATGGAAGTCCTGCTCAAAGACATCCCGTAAATTCTCAAATTCCTTAGAGCTATTGAATTCAATTAGCTCTCTCACAAAATTCACGATTGGTTCTGGGACATTTTTTTGCTTCATAATAAATTTCAGGCTGGCGGTCCAGTTGTCGTGAATTTCATTGAATGTATTTGGTGCGTCTCCAGAGTGAATGATAGTAGAATAAAAACGTTGAAATGACCACATTGAAGCATCTGTGTTCATGAAGAAAGGATATTTCTTGCGTTTAAAGCGATATGTTCTGACATCTGAATCAATTACTGGATTTGACATATTTAAAAATAAATTTTTTTTTTTTGTCTGGAGCAAAGCGTAAAGCGTATGGACCAATAAGCATAGATAAATTTCCTTTGTTACACTATCGATAATATACTATTAAAATACATTACGTAATATTTACGATGGGTCACTAATTAACAAATAATAAAATTATATTCATTCAGAACCTCAGCTTTTTGCGCGTCAGATTCGAGTGTCTTATCTCATTGATCACGTTAACTACAAAAATTCAATGAGACCAAAAAAGCTTCCATTTATCATATGTAATACTGCTGCTGATATAAAGTATCGCTCAGTTAAAGAATTAGGACTGAACAAGGCAAATTCTGACAAGACCAATATTTCAAACTTAAGGTTAGGCGATATTCTTTGTCATAATTGTTACATGAAAACAATAGAATGGAATCGATATGAAAAGAAGAAGTCTAGAGTTAAAATACAATAGAAATATGATGATTTTATTTATCAAACGAAGATAAATCGTGTTATAATGTCTCAAAAGAAATATAAAAACCTTTCTGAAAAAGTAAAGGGGGTTGAAGAATTGCAAGAACATATAAATCAACTTGAACTTATGTTAGAACACGCCTTAAGTTGGTATAATAATTATATTGTCAAATTATTTCACTTATATTATTTATATTTATTGTAATAATACTCATAGAAAACCCACCTTTCGCTAATTTCTTTATTGATAAAATGAGACACATCTGTATTATATATATTGCAACACATCAAGAAAAACGAAAGCCATTTACAGATCCAGAAGAGTATTAGAGTTATTGAATCAAGATATCCAGAATTACAAGGATTTTTCAATACTGTGTATCAATCAGCAAATCCTTCCGCAAAAAACAAATATACACAACAGCATCTACAAACAAAAATTATATTTATATGTTACCAAATGGCTGCTTTGCATAATAACAAGTTAGTGTGATATCAAAGCTTCAATAAAACTTTTTATGTCAGGATATGAAACATCTGTAAATGGAATTAATTCACTTGCTGGGATGGGTTTAAGTTCTACATACCAGTCTTTAATCGTACAAAGGAGATATAAGCAATCATAATTTATTGTGAAAGCCTATAAGCAAAATGTATATTAATTTTAAACTTTTTGTTTTTTTTTAATTGTTTATAAACTAACAATATATATTTGACTAAATATTAGAATATTTTTTTTTTAAATTGTATAGATCATTTTTTATTTAATGTAAAATAAAATTATATAACATAAATTTAATTATTTGATATGATTTTTTTTATAACACTTTTATAATTCAACCAGATAGGATCATCACCAATTTTATTGCATCAATATTTATTATAAATATTCTATATAAAATATGATTATACAATAACAAGCCAATTAATTTTTAAATATACTATTTCTATCTAACTTTATATAATTATTACACATTTTATGATAATTTTATATGCAAATTAGTGTTTGCCAATACTTCAGATTCTAATAATTCTGTAATTGTATGAGCTTCATTTCAATTTCAACTTAGTTATTAGATTTTAAAGGAATTTGAGAAGCATTAACTTCTATAGATATAACATTTTAATGGTTAGATTGCTTTAATACTAAAAGAAAATAAAGTTAACTAAGAAAATATTTTATATAATTATTGTTGAATAACAAAATAATACTTTTTTTTAAAGTTAAAAAGTTCCATTTACTTATTCTTTATTTATATCCATTAAGTTTATTGGAAAAATATTATCAGATATTATATTAGCAATAATTTTAATATTAATAATTAGTTAACATTAAAAATAGAAAAAATTTGAAGAATCTATATGTTTTTTTTATAAATTTTACTTATTAATAAATTTATTATATCTAATCATGAGAAAGAACATAAGGTTAAAGTTCTTGATCAAATTTATGATAGGATTAATATCTATACAATCTGTATTTTAAACAAGTTGCTGTAATACTTGAACCTGTATAATTTGTAACTTCTTATTATCAAGATTTATCGCTGTTATAACAAATTTTTTTTATCAATTTTTTTAATTGTACTTTACTAATATAATAACATTTAAACTATTTTTAGTTTATAAAACTACAGTCAACTCTTTCTACAACGAATTTTACAATACAACGGATTTTCGGTGTCAGACAGATTTTTAAATATAAAAAACCCTTACTATACCGAATTTAGTAATTAAAAATTCGTACTATGTTTAACGAATTAAAGTCAGAAAAATTTAT